TCACGGTCCCTGCTCCTCCCGGGCCGGCAGCACCAGTGACCCTGGCGTCCAGGAAGGGGCACCATCGCCCTCTCTGCACACCCGGGAGGCTAAGGGCAGCCGGGCAGCCCCACCAGGGCCACTGGCTGGACGGGTGCGCGTCTGCCTGACCGGCCACGGCTCCTGGTCTCCAAGCCGCTGGCTTCCCTCCCCTCCCCCACCCAGCAGATCAGCCAAAGCCGGGGCTGGTTCGGGTGTGGCCTGGGCCGGGGAAGAGGCTGGTGGAGCCTGGGGCTGAGACCCGACCTGGGTGGGGACCTGGCAGGGTCCGCTCTTTGCTGATGATGCACCCATGGGGTCGGCTCCTCCAGGAGTCCAGCCCCCCCTCTTTTTAAAAATACTTTTTTATTGATTTCAGAGAGGAAGGGAGAGGGAGAGAGAGCGAGAGAGAAACAACGATGAAAGAGAATCATTCATTGGCTGCCTCCTGCTCGCCCCCCACTGGGGATCAAGCCCACAACCCGGGCCTGTGCCCTGACCGGGAATCGAACCCTGACCTCCCGGTTCACAGGTCGACGCTCAGCCACTGAGCCACCCGGCTGCACAGGGGCCTCTCCTAACCCTCAAAGCAACCAATTCCCAGAAGAGGACGCCCAGGCCACAGAGGACCTGCTTCCTAAGGAGGCACCGCAAGGAGGGGGCGGCCTGCAGGGGCGGGTCAGCCACACGCCCACCAGCCTCGCAGGGCCCTCTGGGCGGGCAGGCTCCCCACAGGGCCCCCAAATTCTGCGGCATGGGTGGCTGAGGTGCTGGCGGGGTGGAGGGGGCTGGGCACAGAGCACAGAGCCAGGCTTAGCTGGGCCGGAGTCGGGGTCCCTGCGAGCCTCTGTCGGGCTCCGGTTCCCTCCCACTGGCCCTGGCGCTGCCCAGCTCTGAGTTGGGGCAACAGGTGCACCAGGGGCTGGCACGTGCCTGGCAGAACCACGGCCGGGGGCCTCGGGACCAGGGACTCACCGAGAGTGGGTGAGGGGTGAGGGTGCTGGCGGGGAGACCCTGGCGGGCAGGCGTGTGCAGGAGGGATTTGCAGGGAGGAGGGGCGGGGAGGGGTCCCAGGGCCGCTCCTGTACGGAGGATACGAGGTTGAGCAGCTTCAACTCTGACAGGCCGGGGTCACAGCGAACGGGTAACACTGACCCCAGAGGTCCTGGGGACAGAGGAGTGGCGCCCCGAGGACCCCGAGACGGACCCCCTGACGGAACTACCTGATGGGGAGGGAGGGGCCGAGGGGATAGGGCCTCGCCGCCTGCAGCACCCACCCTCCATCTTCCTCCTCCTGGGGGACCCCCTTCGCTGCTCACCGCCCGCAGCCCCATGCACACCCACAGGAGGGTCCCCCCGGCCCTGCCTCTGCAGCTCGGCCCTGCTGCCTCCGTCTCCAAACTCAGCCCTGAGGCACCCACACCTGCCACGACTCCCGCCCAGAGCCCAGGACCCGCGTCCTAGCTCTTCTGTGTCCCCTTCTCACCGAGGCCACCCCCTTACAGCCTCCCAGGGTCCCCTCCAACAATTCCCCAGGGAGCCCCTCACTTGGGGTGAACCCCAGCCCTGAGAGTGGGGGCGGAGGCATCAGGTCTTCCTCCCCAGCTCACCTGCCCTCCCTCATCTCGTCCTTCCCTCCAGGTCAGCACACCTGGCACTGGCCCGGCAGGTGTGAGGCTGTGCCCCCCCCCCAGGGGCAAGGCCACCAGCCCCAGGGTTGCTGGGGTCCCTGGGGCCCAGCCCAGCCCTGACCAGGGGTTCACTACTTGGCTGCTCCTCCCTCACTGGGTTCTTTTGCCCAAAAGCTCTCAGATGATGGTGCTCATCGCGGTCCCCAGGCCAGGCTTCCTAACCAGTCTCCACCCTCTCCCACCTCACAATGGGGGATGGGGAGGGGGGAGCGGAGGACGGAGAAGGAAGGAGAGGCCGTGCTCCAAGCCTAGGGGGCCCAGCTGGGGCGGGCCATAGCGTCCAGGCGACGGGTGTGGGGTGTCCTGGCTCAGGCATGGCGGGCACCTCCCTCTCCCTCTGTTCCGTCCCTCTGCTCACAGCAGTGGGGAGGCCTCCTGGGGACCTTGGGTCCAGCGAGCCGAGACCCTGGCTGCCTCCAGAAGGTGCCAGGCCTGCAGAACGGGGGCAGCTGCAGGAGCTCTGGCCGCCAGTCCCCGAGACAGAGGGCACCCCTCTCCCTGCTCGGTCATGCTGGAAGCTCCATCAGACCCCAGTTCCTAAGGCAAAAGCCCTGCACGTCCTCCTCTGCTCAGGAACCTGCCGTGGCTCCCTACTGCTCCTGCCCGCAGCACGCATGCCACCCTGGGGAGAGGAGGCTGCAGGGCACAGGCTGTGGGGCACCAGGGCACCAGGCTGCAGGAGGCTGCGGACAGCTCCCACTCTGCTTTGCAAAAGGAGGCTGATAAGGACCCTTCACCTCAGGGACTGCTGGGGGATTGAGTGAGTGAGGCTGCCCACAAGAAGGGTCAGCACGGGACTGGGGGCAGCAGGGGTGGGCACGGTGGGAGGGCTGCCTGGAGGAGGTGGCGCCCCAGCTGCAGCGACATGCTGTTCTGTGGGCTCAGACGCGCCCGGGCAGCACCTGCCTTCCCTGCGGGAACGATGAGAGTGCAGGGGGCCGAGCCCGTCAGGGGCCAGGCTGGCTGTAAGCAGAGCCCCTGGATCACTGCCCCGTGGTGCCCAGGAAGAGGATGGGGAGGAGAGGAATCTGGTCCCCAGGGCCTGACCGGCGCCTGCCTCCCTCCTGCCCAGGGCTGCCCACTGGCCGCTTCAGGGCCGGGAGCAGCACTCGCACTTCCTCCTGGGGAATTTGAGGCGCAGGAAACAGGGGTGGAGGTGAGGGGGACCCGCAGCCTGTGGCCAGGTGGGAGGGGCACCCTTGGTCCTGCCATCTGCCAGGCCAAGACTCTGCCAACCCCCACCCCAGCCCTGACAGGCCCAGCACCCCTCCCCGGATGCTGGCCCCAGCGGCCCCCTCTGCCTGGAGGGCACTGCCCGACTCCCTGTGCCCCCCTGAAGCACCCGGGCCCAGGAAGCTCCCCTTGCCCGGCCCAGCCTGCACCTCTCTGCCCACACCTGGGTGACTCTGATTCATCTCCGTTCCACCCTCCACCCCCCACGGGATCCAGAGGAGGTGCAGGTGCGAGTGCCGCAGACCCAGCCTCAGCGTCCTCATCTGCGAAATGGGGGTGATGCACTCTGCCCGCCACCCTCAGAGGGGCCGGGAGGGGTGGGCACTGCCCCTGCCTCTGCCAGTCGGGCTCCCCCAGGGGACCAGCTTCCTGCACCCTGGCTGCCACCGGCTCCAGGCCCAGCTCTCATCTGCTG